ATGACTGGAAAATTAAAAACTATTTGTTCATTAAAAGGGCATTCTGGAATTGTATGGAATACATCATGGCATCCAAAAGGACAGATGTTGGCTTCTTGTGGTGAAGATAAAACCATCAGATTGTGGAATTATAAAGATGGTGATAAAAGCACATTAAAGTGTTTGTTAGCTGATGGTCATCAGCGTACTGTCAGAGCAATTGCATGGTCATATTGTGGTCAAAGTTTAGCATCAGCTAGTTTTGATGCTACTATAGCTATTTGGGATAACAAATCTGGACAGTTCGAATGTAATGCTACTCTGGAAGGTCATGAAAATGAAGTTAAAAGTGTAGCATGGTCTAGATCAGGTTCAATGTTGGCGACATGCAGTCGTGATAAATCTGTATGGGTTTGGGAAGTATGGGAGGATAACGAATACGAATGTGCTGCCGTCTTAAATGCACATTCACAGGATGTCAAGAAAGTAGTATGGCATCCCCACGAAGATATATTGGCATCTGCTAGTTATGACAACAGCGTCAAGTTGTACATGGAAGATGCAGACAAGGAATGGACTTGTGTGGGAACTTTGAGCTCACACACATCAACTGTCTGGAGTTTAGCGTTTGACAAGACTGGTGATCGACTTGTGACTAGCAGTGACGATCGGACTCTAAAAATATGGCAAAAATATCTACCAGGTATAAATAGTTATTATTTTTTTTWAAATTATTTTTAACATGTTAAAACTATTTCATAATTTTATTACAGGTAACCCTGAGGGAATTTCTGTTAAAGATGGAAATTTTGTGTACAAATGTGTATGCACAATCAGTGGATTTCACACAAGACCAATTTATGATGTTACTTGGTGCCATTTAACAGATCTAATTGCCACGGCATGTGGTGACAATTCCATAAGAATATTTAAAGAAGAAGATTTATCTGACCGTAATCAACCATCTTTTTCATGTGTTTCACATGTGAGTGAAGCTCATTCACAAGATATCAATTCTGTTCAGTGGAATCCTGTAGTTAAAGGAGTTTTAGCATCTTGCAGCGATGATGGATTGGTAAAAATTTGGAAAATGGAATCAACATAAAACTATCTCAAAAACATTTAAATTTGTGTAATACCATAATCTATGTATTGATATTATATCATTGTATTGTATAGAAATTATAATATTATTTCAAAATATATTTTTAATGRGATGATTATTTAGTAATTAAAGCAAAACATCTGTAAACATGCATTATAATCAATGTTTATTAATCATTATTATGTGATAAAGTTTGTCAAGAAGAAACCCCTATAGTTGTATTTTATATTCAATTAAAAAGTAATTTGAAAATGAAAATAATTTAATATAAATTATAATCGTTCATRAATAATTTACAGAATAAAAACATTCCTATAACTTTTTATTTTTAAGGCTTCTAACATTATGCTTGTCTATTAACCAAGTGTGTAATTCTAGTCAKTGTTAGATTAATAATAATATAATATACCCATTAGTGTGTATCTACTTTATGGATTAAAAATGTGGAGTTCATCACAATGAGCTTAGGTTAACATAAAATGTGTGTGGTAGGTATATAATATATTTTGATATTCAAATTTGGGCCATTAATTAAGAAAATACAGATGTTTGAATTAAAATAGCTGTTCTGTATGTAATAAAACTTAACTAAAAGAATATTCTATAACATAAATTATACTTTCTTATTCGGCATTAAAATATTTAATGGATTTTTCGATTTTGTTAAAAAATATTGAAAATGCTTGCAATTATTTAACTTGTTTATAGTCTCGTTTTGACTATTTAACGGTATATTATAACATACAATATAAAAATCTGATTTTAAATATTGGCTTTTTTTAATTTCAAATGGTTATGAATCCATTAAAATGTTGAACCGGATTTGCTTTACATATATTGTTTTACGATATAGGAATTTATTTTTTATTTGTACTTGTACCATATTGCAATTAGCCTATTCACATACTCCTACTGAAAGTCGTTATTGACTTATAAATTAATGGTGTGTTTAAAATTTACATATTATAAAAATTATTATTAGGTAATAATAAAATAAAAACGTTGTTTTTTGGCAAAAATGTAATCAAAATACCGTAAATACAAAATTGTAATACTTATGTAATAATAATAATAATAATAATAAATAATATAATACCGTCATAAATATAATTATATCGAAAAATATACTTAGGTAGCACTATAAGCTGACAGACCATTTTCGCTCTGAAACGTTTTTAGCATGCAATAAACTTTATCCTTGAATTCAAAATTAACACATAATTACCTACAGCGATTTAGTGATTTTTACTTGACTATGACCATGTACACTCGACATCTGTAGTATATCGAAGTGGTTAGATATATARGTACTTCCCCTTTTTTTGGATTCTGCGGATGAGCGGAGCGTCGAGCAATGTTTTTTTTTTGTAATTAAATCGCAGCATTCTATGGTGAGCGCCCGCAAAAACAAAACTCAGGTGGAAGGGAGTAAAAAATCTCCTTGATATATCACGTGTTATAACACAGCACATRTATTTTTATAATAAAACGATTTRTAATGATAAAAATAGCAGGAGGGCATGCGGCCACCCTCAGCACTTCGTGTGCAGTGTGCGCGCGCCCTTGATTGCAGTACATACTCTCATGGGTCAAGGTCGACGATAAAGGATCAAAGCGCCCAAATAACATTTTTTTTAAATAATACATTTTTTACAGCAACCGCGACCCGCACCGTAAGTCACCCGTGGACTGTAAAACGTTATTGCGTGACCGGCCAACGAAACATGGCGACACTGTCGGAAGTCGTCTCGACGTTGAAGAAGTTGGCGCCGTTGACCCTTGCAGAGTCTTGGGACAATGTTGGTCTGTTGGTAGAACCGGACGTCCAGAAACCTGTAAGCCGCRTTTTCCTCACCAACGATCTAACCGAGGACGTGCTGGAGGAAGCCGTGGGCGTTGGCGCCGATCTCATCGTTTCCTACCATCCGCCGGTGTTCACTCCATTCAAAAGAATTACCTCGGACTCCTGGAAGGTACCTATATAAACATTGATATGTGTTTTAATTKTYCCGTCCTTTACGAACACAAAATTAGAAAAAAACGTACATTTTTAGAAATTCGATGGCATAAAAATAATAGGTACATAATATTACGAATTATATATTCCATCGTGGAGAATACGGTGGTTTACTTCAATAAGTGRCCATCTGCTACTCCCAGTCGAGTTGTAAAATCGTAACGAGCTTGTGCTGATTCAATGCCCCGCATACCATTTCAATGAAAAGTTATTCATCTTATTGTTACAGTATTGAATATTTAAATTTTTTTCTTTTAAACGTTTTGTTTTCTTTATTTTACTTTTTAATATATCTAATGAACCCGCCTACGTGGATAGTCGTCCAAACACGTCTACATCGCTTGTAAATTACGTAGCGGATAGATACCATAGGGACAGTTATTTATGTACATTTCAAGTAGTGATTTGCGTCTCACACCCTTATACTTCGATAATCATTCTATTAATTTATTATAATCTTCAAATATTGATTAAAAATAAATACATTATGTACCACGGGTATAACTTTTAAGTTATTATAATACGTTCATTAAATCGAAGTTTAATGCTAAAATTTTTAAAACAATAAAATTTCATAAACCAGCCAATTTCAACTTAAACGAGTCAAACTTAAATTTAAGTTTAATATCAATTTGTCAATTTGATTAATTAAAAATAACTTTATTCATAATAGRTACATTATTAAAAATCATCGTTTCTCATAAAAATCAATTCAGAATATTAATAAAATATTTTATAAATCATAACTTTATGTTTTATCCTACCTACTCTTATCCAAATTTTTAAAATATTGAATAATTAAATACCTACTTGRAAATAGGATTAAATTTTTATATTATATTGAATAGAGTGTCATTGATGTAACAAAATTGCATTGCAATATTGCCAATATTGGTATATTAATTTTGCTCTATAACAAAACGAATATACTGGAAGAAAAATTCAAAACTATTTTGAAAATCTCAAAACATAAATYGCACAACATTTTTATTGTTTTAAATTTMTTCCGTTATAATGAGATAAATAAAATTATTTTTTATTCAACTGTGGAAAACTCCGAATCTAATGATATCATTTTGCCATTAAAATATCTAGAGTGTTATTTCACAACTTTTGAGATTGAACATTTATTATTATATAAATACT